AGAAAAAAAAAAAAGATATACCATTAAATGTAGGTACAATATTTACTTAGTATTTAAAGTAGATGCTCGGAAATTATCACGTTCGTTACATTTGAACAATATGTTCATTACAATTCTATTATATGTTCTTTAACAATATGTTCTTTTCACTCTGGCAATATGTTCTTTATACATGTGCAACATGTTCTTATATTTTTGTAATATGTTCTTTCCGCCTTCTTTTCTGAACGAATGTACCATGCTCATGGTACATCCGCCTCCACGAACCTCCTCAGATTACTAAATTTGTTCTCTTTGTAAAGTGTATAATAATGTGTCCATATTCTGTAGGTTTTTTTTTTTTTTGAAAGAGTAAAATATAGGTTTTGGTATCGGTTGGGTATATAATTTTTAAAATACTTATTATAAATTTTCTTGTACTTTTAATAGGAAGTTTTGACTTTTACTATCACTAAAAAGAAGAACTTTGAATTTTACTACATGTCTAAAATTTTATTTTATTTTACTACCGACAAAACAAAAAAAACAAAAATAGATTTTTTTACCCAATAACAAGGGGTCCACCCTCCAACTATTACAAACTTCCTTCGTTCCAAAAATATTGCAACAATTACCACTTTTAGCAGTTACACAACTATTACAACATTTCCTTATTTGTACATGTTTTCTCCCTTTCTCTCTACTCATCACGTGATTCACATCTTTATTCCTCTTTATCTCTCTCCTATTCTTAAAATCCGTGTCCCATTTTCATATTGCAATATATAGGGAACATATGAAGTATTTTTTTCGACTTACGTGACGAAAAAAATGCTTCGTTAAGGTTATGGGGGTCATTTTGGGTTTAAGTTAAGCTCAAAATTGGGAAAAAAAAAGTAAAGACCTTATTTTGCGTGTCAAGAAATATACGTTTTGACTTGTATTAAACTCTAAAATTAGTATTTTAAAATTCATGTATCATACTAATTCTATTTTTATTAATTTTGCAATTCGGAGGAAATAATTGCATTATGTAATATATTTTTTCTTAATTAATATAAAAGAAGAAAAATTACTATTGATAAACTCAACTTTAGCCGAAATAATCCCAACTTTAGGGATATTAAATTTAATTATACCAAACAGCTTACCAAACCTATTACAGCAAGTCAATTGCCACGTGTCAACACCCTATTTGTCTAAAAAAAGTTGTTAAAAATAAACCAAAAACCAAGTTAGCTACCAGCCCCCCGCCGGCAGCCAACCCCTTCCCATCAACCTTACCCTGAAAATCGCCCCTGTCCCAAACCCCCCTCTCGAAAATGCCACCTTTCTAAACCCCCTTCCCAAACCCCCTTCATAAGCCCCTTTCCTAAAGCCCCCTTCTCGATCCTTTTCCCCCACCCCGAAACAGTCCCTGTTGAGCCTTTTGGTTTTGATGGACAAATTGACAAACTCGACTAATGAATGTTTTGAGTCTTTGGTGAATAAAGGATTCAAGCAAAGTTCGTTCCGGAGTAGGAACTTGGATGCGGAGTAGCATTCTTTAAAAAGCCTCGTGCAAATCTCACGTTCTAGTTTTAATTGTGAGCACTCAATAATATAAAGTCGGAAAGGAACTCAATGACTTATGTTAAAGACTACTGGAATAAAAGTTAGTTTTAAAAGATAATTTCTTAAAGAAAAGATAATTTGTAAAAGTTTTAATAAAGATAATTATCGAAGATAATTATCTAGTTGTTTTAATAAATAATAAATTTATCTTTTCAAATAAAATCTTTTTAAACAAACTTTTGATAATCTTTTAAACAAATATTTGATAAGGATAGCAAGCGGTTTTTCTGTGTGAAAATCTTTATACGGCTAATGATTATCAAGTTGATTAAGATAGTGGACTAATTAGATAAGGCTAGGAAACCTCTTCATGATTACCATCTGTCAAGATAACTCCACAAGTTGTTAGTGGGTTGTTGGCATGTGGACGTGATTATAGTGGAGGTTAATGACTAAGCCTTCTCTATAAATACTCATGCAAACTATCTCAGTAAAACATAACTCTTGAGCATAAAAATTCCAGTAGCCATCTAATAACATAAAGAGAGTTATTTTCCTTCATATATTCTTGAGTGCAATAGGTATTTGTAATCACAGATTGTATTCAAGTACTTAGGGGTTGGGATTGTGAGTTTGTAAAGTGAGGTCAAGGAAGCTTCGTTGCTGAAGTCTTCTGTGAGAGTTGGGAACAAGTTCCTAATTTGTGGAACTTGTTAACGGGTTTGAATCTTCACTTGTAAAGAGTTTGATTACTTAGTGGAAATTTAGAAAAGCCTATATCTTCTCTCGTCACTATTTCATTTAGTTAAATTCCGCAAAAAGTTTTTAGACTTCACCTCAAATACAATTCACCCCCCCTCTTGTATTAGCCAGTTAGACTTTCAGTTGGTATCAGAGCGGGAACTCAGAACACGCAGGCAACCCTGTTGAGTAAGTTCCTGGAAAATGGCTTACACAGAGGAAAAGGAATTCGGGAGTACATCCATTCAAAGGCCTCCATACTTCAACGGCAAATTTTATCCTTATTGGAAGGATAAGATGGAAATCTTTATCCAAGCAGAGAATTATCAGGTATGGCGGATTATACAAGTAGGAGATTACGAAATTACGAAAACGAATGCTAATAATGAGGTAATCCCTAAACCTATGGATGAGTATGAAAAAACTGATTTTGAAAAACTTGAAATGAATGCTACTGCCAAAAAATTTTTAATTTGGGGACTTGGACCCGATGAACATACTCGTGTCAAAGGGTGCAAGTCCGCAAAGGAAATTTGGGATCTTCTGGAAGTTACACATGAAGGAACGTCAGATGTTAAACGTTCCAAAATAGACATTCTTTTGTCTCAGTATGAGCGCTTTGAAATGGGAAACAAAGAATCCATTAAAGACATGTTTACTCGATTTAAAAGTATTACTAACGAACTAACGTGTCTTGGCAAGATAATTCCTATAGATGAGCAGGTCAGAAAAGTCTTAAGAAGTCTTCCAGACAATGACAGATGGAGAGCAAAGGTCGCAGCGGTGCAAGAATCAAAAGACTTCACCAAGTTCAATCTGGAACAGCTTGCGGGTTCCCTCATTACTCACGAGATCCAGTCGAACAATCGGACTCAGGAGACTGTCAAAAGTCAAGGGCTAGCATTAAGAGCTAATGAAGAATCCGAAGAGAAGTCTGACATCGATGAAGAAGAAGCTGCAATGTTGGTGAGAAGGCTGAAAAAATTCTACCGTAACAACAAGTTTTTAGACAAGAAGAAAGGATACAGTAAAAGAAATCAGGAACCCAAAGCCAAGTCTTCTTGTCACAAATGTGGAAGCACCAACCACTTCATCAAAGAGTGTCCATTATGGGAATCTGAGAAAGGCAAGGGAAAAGAAACTGATCAAAGCAGAAATTCCAAGCCTAACTTTTCTAAAACAAATTTCAGGAAAGCAATGATTTCCACGTGGGGAGAATCGAGTTCCGAAGAAGAGGAACAGGAACACACAGACGATGAAGTAGCCAATCTCTGTCTAATGGCAAAGCATGATGATGAGGTAGTCATTCAACCTAGTTATTTGAAATCTCTCTCAAAGGATAAATTAATCTCTTTATTGTTAGAAACCTTAGATGAATATAAAGAATTATGTGCAAAACTAAGGCAAGCCGAAAAGGCAACTGGAATTTGTAGAGATCATGTTAAGTATCTGAATAGCTTAAGAAATGATGTTCAAGGCAGATTCTTTGAATTGTTAGATAAAAATATTATGCTAAAAGAATCCCTTGAAAGAGTCAAGAGTGAGAATATCATGCTGAATATTGAATTGACTCAATATAAAATGTTGTGTACTAACATTGATTCTTGCAGGTCTACTGAAGTTCCTTTAATCATGTTTAATAATGAACTAGAGCATGTTAAGAAAGAGATAAAGGAAACCAATGATAAAAATGAGAAACTAGAAAAGGACCTAGAAATTGCAAGAAAAAGTAAAAATACAGCAAGCACGGGTGTTCCCAAGTGGGTAAAGGAAGCTCAGACAAAAAGAACAGAAGGTCTAGGCTATGTTCATAAGAAGAAGTCCACTGGAAAGAAAAAGAAATATGTGAACTTACCTAGTGAGACCGTTTGTTCTTTTTGTGGTAAAAAGGAACATCGCAGTGAAGAATGTACTAAGAAAGCAAATCTGTACAATAAGAATGTGAACTATGTTTGGCAGAAGAAATCTGATTTAAATGTGTCAACACAGGAACCCATGAATGAAAGGGTTCCTGCTACTAACCCTTAATTTCTTTTGCAGGTCGCAGTGAGGGGGAACAACCAGTGGTACCTCGATAGCGGTTGTTCTAAGCACATGACAGGAGATGAATCCAGATTTCTCTCACTGACGGCCTATACAGGGGGAACAGTGACCTTTGGAGACAATAAGAAAGGCAACATTGTTGCTGTTGGCAAAGTAGGAAGGTCAAGTTCCCATGCAATTGACAATGTATTTTTAGTCGAGGGTTTGAAGCATAATCTACTCAGTATATCTCAGCTTTGTGATAAAGGAAACTCTGTAAGCTTTTCTTCTGAAAATTGCAAAATCATCAACAATAACACTGGAAAAATCGTTTTGGAAGGAACTCGTAAAGGGAACACGTATACCGTGGATCTTAACAAAGTTCCAAAATACAATCTATCCTGTTTAAGTGTTATTGAGGATGATCCACTTCTATGGCATAGACGTTTTGGACATGTTAGTCTTTCATTGCTTGACAAATTAAGGTCAAAGGACTTGGTAATCGGATTACCTTCTATCAAATTCCTAAATGACAAAATTTGTGAAGCTTGCATCAAAGGAAAGCATGTTCGATCATCATTTAAATCAAAGAAAATGGTAAGCACCACAAAACCATTGGAACTCATTCATATGGATTTGTGTGGCCCCGTTAGAATTCAAAGTAGAAGTGGAAAAATATATGTCTTAGTTCTTGTAGATGATTATTCTAGATTTACATGGGTCATATTCTTACATAGTAAAGATGAAACTTTTGATATGTTTATGACTTTCTTGAAAAAGGGCTTAATTAGGCTAGATTTTATTTCTACTGAATGACAAATTGCTGATATATTAACTAAGCCTTTAAGCAGAGACAAGTTTGAAAAGATGCGTGTGGAATTGGGGATGCTACGGCTCAAGTGACTTTTGTTTGGAACCCCTAAGGTAAAATCGGATGTAACTAACGATGCTATGCTCAATCTTGTGTGCATAACACAGCTGAAATTATCCAGGGGAAAGATTTGTGAAGTATTGAAAAGTCACGTATACATACTTTTAATATGTTAAAAATATTGAGCCATGTTTTTTTTAAGTTCCCTTTTCATCATTCTTTACTCTCTGTATCATGATCACGTAAATTATCATCATAATTTACAATCAATTTGCTCTTATTTATCCTTTTCATTTTTTATTTATCTGTTTTTTTTCTTCTTGTTATTTTCTTTCTTATCTTTTATTCCTATCTTATTTTTTTTATTCTTATCTTTTTCCTTCCTTATTTTTTCATGATGAATTTTTCTATTCCTCAATACAAAAAGATCTTATTTGCTACGTAAGATAAGAAGCATGTATATCAACTTCTTAACTTACGATTTTATTTTATCAACATTGAATTAGATGAGTGCAATTATTTCACCAAATTAAATCCTACTACCTCTAAAACTACCCCACTACCTCACAGTTTAAACCGTCACTTTTCTTTCTCACTCCTCCCCATTAAACTCTTTTTCTTCTTTTCACTCCACCTTCACCTATCAAATCAATTAAATTCCCCATACACTCCCATAACCGGCCTCACTCTCTCTCCTTCCTATTCACACTATTCATCTTCTCCTTCCCTTCATTTTACCTTCAACACCATGAAAACCAACCGAAACACCACCCCAAAAACCCGATCACCACCATTCAAACCCTCCTCAAACACGGGGTCTCCACAACCGGTGCCAATTGCGGTGGTGCATCCATCTGCTCAGCCAAAGAGGAAGGCTAAGGCTGTGAAGGGCGGCGACAGGAAACGGCGCGCAACCACCAAATTCCCATCATGGAATTACACTCTCGGATATCACATCAACTATGATTGGTGTGTGGCGAGTAAGTTCACTGAATTTACTTCTTTAATTGATTATCAAAAATGGACTCACTTGTTCCAGAATTGTTCTCATTACCCTGTTTATCCTAAATTTATTTATGAGTTCAAAAATACCTTTCAATGTGATAATGGTGTGTGCTCGGCCGTAGTTAATGATATTCCAATTTCGTTTGATGCCAATTATCTTGGAAATCTATTTCAAGTTCCTGTTAAAGGCTATTGTTCTTATTTAAAGCACAAACAATCTGTAAACATTGGCCATAATGATGAATGCAAAATCCTTCAATTTATTGGAGGAAATCCGAAAGTGAAAACTACTCACCATCATGCCCTAACACCCCTTCATAAGCTACTGTTTACCTTCACCTGGAAGGGTATAGTACCCCGTTTACAAAAACGGAGTACCGTATCACTCTTGGATGCCTCCCTCATATTCTGTCTTGCATGCAAAATACAGATTAATTTCCCTGCTCTAATGATTGAACACTTGAATGTTTATGCTCAAAAGACCACAATTCCATATGGCTCTTTCCTTACTGTGTTGTTCAAATCTTTTGGTATTGATGTTGAATGTGAATCCCCAACATATCTCAAACCCGATAATATCCTCTCTGAACAATCATTACTTAGACTGAGTCTTAGGCTTACAAATGGCAAAGTATGTTTTGTGCCTCGGAAAGGAGGGGAGAAAAAGAAAGGGAAAGGGAAAGAAGCTAAGGAAGAATGTGATGCAAGCAGTGACCAGGGTAGTGAGGAGGCTAGTGAGGGTGCTACCACCTCCAGTGATTCTGAGGGAGATAAGGAAGAAGAAAAAAGTTCTAACGGAGAGAAAAACAAAGAAAAAATACTTGAGGGAGATGTGCAAGGAGAAAAACAGGAAGATTCTGAGGGGGAACATATGGAAGTTTCTGAGGGGGAAGCTCGACAATCTGACTTACATGAGGGGCAGGGAACTGATCAAAGTGAGAGGGAACATACCACAGACTCTGAGAGCACAGCTGGACCACCTGTCATTCCTGTGTTTACAGGGGGCCTTAGAAGGAGTAAGAGGAATGTGGTCAAGCCTGCCCTTTCTACTACACACCCTGTGACTGTAGAAACCATCAGCTCCTCAGACAAATCTGATTCCACCTTCAAACCTACCCAAGTTCCCTCTTCCACGGAACCCTCTTCTATTCCTGTCTCACCTACTAGGCAGCCTTCTCATTCACCTTCTCCTCCTCCATTTCAGCCTACTGGCTTTGCTGCTTTCTCTGGAACTCGTGTGTCTGTTTATGATTTTCAACAGGTTCAAGCAGATATGGAGAAGTTGACTACTCTGGTGAGCAAGAAACTGGAGGAAATGGCCTCGGAACTGCTTTCTCTTAAAGGCCAGGTGCAGGCTCTGGCAGATTCTCAAGCAACCGGATTTGCAGGCGTAGAGGCAAAACTTGCACAGGCTGAAGGCAAGTTTAGTGAAGGCAACAAGGAGATCTTGGAAACTATCAACAGAGTAGCCTTTGAGGAAGTCGAGGAAGACTCTATTGATCCCACAAATCCAACCCTTGATCCTACCAATGCAGCCTTTTAAATCCTTGATTGCACTTATTCTAATTTCATATGTTGAACAATTTTATTTTGGTCTTGTTTAATCTCTCTGAACTTTGGTTTGTACGCCTTTATCCTTTGCTACATTCTCTATGTTCCTCTTCTATTTCCTAAATCGGAACTTGGCTCGTATTTTTCATATGATTGTGTGTGGTTGCTGATGATTTAGTACCTAACTTATTTTTGCCTTGCATTATTTGAGCTCACTATTCCCTACGTAGTCTAGTGGGAGTATAGCAAAATGTTTTTTTTCAATCTTTTGATAATGCCAAAAGGGGGAAAAGACAAACTTCATGGCGGCTAAAGTGTTTACCAAGGAACTCACACATCGAAGGTACAAACTTTTGCCAAGTTCAGTTTTTAAAGTCTTTGTTAATTTTTCTTTTGCTCAGTTTTTTTAAAAAAAAAAAAAAAAAAAAAAAAAAAAAAAAAAAAAAAAAAATACTTTTTAATATTTTTCTAAGTTCTTTAATTGTTTTTTTTGTTTTCATGCCTTACTCTAAATTTTTGTTGCATGCCTGGATGATTTTATTTACCTAAGTTTGTCAATGTTTGTCATCATCAAAAAGGGGGAATTTGTTGAGCCTTTTGGTTTTGATGGACAAATTGACAAACTCGACTAATGAATGTTTTGAGTCTTTGGTGAATAAAGGATTCAAGCAAAGTTCGTTCCGGAGTAGGAACTTGGATGCGGAGTAGCATTCTTTAAAAAGCCTCGTGCAAATCTCACGTTCTAGTTTTAATTGTGAGCACTCAATAATATAAAGTCGGAAAGGAACTCAATGACTTATGTTAAAGACTACTGGAATAAAAGTTAGTTTTAAAAGATAATTTCTTAAAGAAAAGATAATTTGTAAAAGTTTTAATAAAGATAATTATCGAAGATAATTATCTAGTTGTTTTAATAAATAATAAATTTATCTTTTCAAATAAAATCTTTTTAAACAAACTTTTGATAATCTTTTAAACAAATATTTGATAAGGATAGCAAGCGGTTTTTCTGTGTGAAAATCTTTATACGGCTAATGATTATCAAGTTGATTAAGATAGTAGACTAATTAGATAAGGCTAGGAAACCTCTTCATGATTACCATCTGTCAAGATAACTCCACAAGTTGTTAGTGGGTTGTTGGCATGTGGACGTGATTATAGTGGAGGTTAATGACTAAGCCTTCTCTATAAATACTCATGCAAACTATCTCAGTAAAACATAACTCTACAATTCACCCCCCCTCTTGTATTAGCCAGTTAGACTTTCAGTCCCCCTCCCTAAATGGCTAAATCTCACCGGAAACAACCGCTCTCCTTATCTCCACGTCGAAAACAACTCCCCATCCTTAACCCCCACCCTGATACATCTCTCCTCCCTTTCCCCAACCGCAAAACCAGTTCCCTCTCCCTTTCACTGCACGACTTTCCTCTTTTTCTGTGCAGGGGGAGGAGAAGGGAGGTCGGTGATGGTGGAAGGGAAGAGCTATTTGTTTCGGTGGTTTAAAAATTTCAGAGGTGGTTTAGGAAGGCGGTAATGAGCCAAGCCAAGGATTTGACTCATTAAGATCTAGAGTCAAACCCGAGCCCACTTGAACCAAGCCTATACGTACTGATGAGCATTGTTAACACTCCTAGTTATGAGCAATAATATTTATCTTGATTGTCTTTCATGTCAAAAATATATTACATAATAAATTTGTATGAATGAAGGTAAGTAGGTAGCTATGCCATTATATGTACTTAAACATGGATACCACAAATAGCCAAAATGAATTTTTCATATTTCATATCCAAAATAGGAATTATCCCATTATTCTGAAAATATAAATATTCCTATAATCACAAAGCTTCTATAGAATACTATACTTGGCATTAGGTATGGACCAAACACTAAATTTCCACTTAGGTTGTCACTCAACTAGGCTGACGAAACGTGGCAATTATAAAAGTCAAAAGACATCAAATCATTTTCTGATGACAATATGTAAATAGGTAGTTGAATGGTAAATTTTATCTCCTTATATTTACTCACCCTTTTCACCCACTAATATATTTGGTTATGTAATCAACAAAATTATATATGAAAAAAAAAAAAGATTAGCTATTGAGTATCTTATCATCGAATAGCACTCTCCTTATTATAATGGATTTTTGACCTAAGTAATATATATGTGTTTGTTTGAGAGCTTTTGATTTCTTTTGTCTTTTAACAACTCTCTCTCTCTCTCTCTCTCTCTCTCTCTCTCTCTCTCTCTCTCTCTATCTATATATTATATATATATATATATATATATATATATATATATATATATATATATATATATGTGCGCGCGCGCGTGTGGGGAAAAGATCCAAAAGATATTACATACTTCCTCCACTCTATATTACTCGCAATATACCTTTTCGACACACATTTTAAGAAAGAGATTTGAGGGTGTATGTAACAATGTAAGAAAATTAAAAAGCGTTTTGTGTCTGAATTATTTTGATTAGTTTGCTCGTTTACACCCTGAAATCTATATCTATGAACTAAACTATATGCTAATATATTAAAAAGCATTCCTAAAAACGTTTATATGCCACATGGGCACCCTCCCATCATGCAAAGGCTTTCATTCGTGTCAACCTTGATCTCAATTTAAAAATTAAACAATGTTATTACAAGTGATAGATCATGTAAATAATCTTTGTAGTTCGATCTGATACCATATGAGAATATTTACCGGAGCTTTCTCATTGATAAAGCGTCAATATATATATACAAAAGTATTCTAGGTTAGACTAGGGCTATATTAGAAAAATACAAACTAAATAAAATATATACAAAGAGAACAAATTGAGAATGTGTCGAATTGTTATATCTATGTATTTAGATTCTTAACCCTTCCCCAGTTGATTCTTGTTTGATTTTGTTAAATTTATTTTTATTATCGTTAATTGTCAATTGTAGATGTATTATGGCTTTAATTAATGATATATAGTGTCCTTTAGGACTTTTTGAAAAATAAAAAAAATTGGTAGTGATAACAATTGTGGAGTATTATAAAAATTTTCTATTAACCTAATTTTTTGAAAAATCATATTAATATAAGCTATTTTTTAATACTAATATTTTTAAGAGTGTTTGTTAAATAATCAAAGAATTGAATTATTTACAATTTCATGACGTTAAATTTTTTTATCACTAAACAAAGATTACAAAAAGTTACTGGAGTATTGCCCGAGATACTTACTCGTATCTTCTTCAAAAAATGTGTATCATAAGGGTAAGTTGCAAGTAATATGGAGCAGAACAAGTTTGTCATACCAAACGAAATATCTAATTATCACGTTACTAATTAATTTATGTTACAATTATAAAGTAATATTGTGACATTTTTTTATTACAAGAGTACGTAGTATGTGCTATTGTAATTTTGTAACTACTAGTCCGTAATCCCTAGTATCTAGCTTGTATGGATCACTTTGACGGTGACGATCGAATTGACGATTATACGACCTCCTCAGGTTAAATAACATGAGACGTTAATAAGCAAAAATTTAAGGAATTAAATTTAATGATAATCGTTTAGGAATTATGATTGTTTTATTGATAAGCAAAAATTTAATTTAGATTAGATGGTATTCGATTCCCTATCATAAAGTATATTGAAAACCTTTTTTATTTTATTTATTATTATTTTTTTTCTTCTTTTTTAGGAAAAGTATATTGAAAACTTCACTCCCCATGCAAAATTAATGTACGTGTGAATTTTGTCAAAGTATTCTCCTATTGACTATAAGGAGGCTAAGTGAATATGGATTCAAATATTCTTGTAGAAAAGTTCTCTAATTCAGCAATAGCAATATAGCTAGCAGTTAACTTTTGAACCAAGTGAAAACACTATTAGGAAAATAATAAGAGCGTTTGGTAAGGTATTGTTTATATAACAGTTAATAGGAGAGATAGCGTTTTGATAGCTTTTCTCACACGTTAAAAATGTTAGTGTTTGAAAGATAACTAGTAGCATTTATCACAATTGGTTTACTTTTTCAATATAATGTTTGTTTTTTTAATTGTATTATAATATTTCAATCGCTATTCTTTACCAAACATTCGTATTATTAAATCGCTGCATTTACAATTATTAACCTCCACCTATACTAATTGATAGTTATCCGCTACTCTATTGTTAAAAGTTATTCGCTACCGCTAATTTCATATACAATTAAAAATTTCTCTTTTTAATAATTCTAACTGTTTCTCAATGGAAATAGAAATAAAATAACAAACGAGGAGTATTATAAAACAAACTTTATTTATTTTTGACTGGAAAAAACAGTGCAAATGAAATTAAAGTAAACTCCCTAGAAATATTTAGTCCAAGTCTTTTGTAAAGTTTTTTTTTTTAAAAAAAAAAAAAAATTACTTTAGAGATTCCGCCCTAACTGAATGACAGTGACCATACCTGAAAACTGATAAAGAAATAAAGAAAGGGTGGGGAAGGCCCACGTGGTGGCAAAGCCAACTAAGAATAATTTTTGGCCCTTTGGGTTGTTGAAAGATGATATGCCCAATGGAAAAGCTCATGTGAACGACAATAACTACTACCTGAAAATATATAAGAAAGATATCCTAAATAAAGGTGAAAACAAACTCAAAAGCACACCTGTACTCTTTACATACAATTTTTTACTAACTCTGTTACATATTATGTGCAACTTTTGGGTATTATTTGTGAAACATAAAATATTCCAAAGTTACACATAATATGTAACGGAAATAGTAGTTATTTTCGTGTATACCTAAATGCAATGTACTTTAAAATGAGCAAAACTGATAAGTTTAATATCGATAACCAAGTGAACTTGAGAATAAAATAGCGGTCTTGCAAAGTCTATTGAAAACTCTCCCAACCAATGTTGTTATTACTCCTTAATTAACTCGCTGATACAAGTGCAAGGAAGTACGGCGCCATGACGGTATCAAGGTGCACTAAAATTAGGTCAAAT